GTATCTTAAGAAGTTAACTTAAGTAGTGTAAAATAAACACTTTTCAATCTTGGTATATAATCCTATATTTCTTAGTTTTTGTAAAATTAAAAAATTAAAAAAATAAATTATATTTTTTTATATTCTTAGAATAGATTAAAATTTCATGCAAGTAACAAATAAAAAATTCATTAAGAAATTCATGAAAGACATCATTCATTAGATGTATAAAAGCAATTAGTATATTTATAAGTCAAAAAAACATGAGATTATGTTTGAAATGCCTATACTTGATTTGAAATGTAATTTTTCATTCATCCCCTTTTTTAATCCATATTAAATTATATGTTCTTTGTAGATCTATTTTTATATAGATCTTTACTTGGTACAATTGATCAAAAAGTCCTAAAATCAAAGATAGAAAATATCTATTTTTTAAGATAATCATTTTAAATCCTTAATACTCCACAAACAATCGTAGAGATCCATTTTTATTCTTCACTAATAAGATAGGAGCCTTGACTGAAAATTTAGAATGACATATGAAGTTTTTAGCTAAATTCTTATTAATGTATTTTTTAAGTGGAGCCAACTTGTTTTATAATAGGCTACAGTTTGGTCCAAATTATTATTGAGCTTCTTCTTAAAAATAGATGGAATAGTCATAGAGACAATGCTTTAAAAAAAAGTTGCATTCTTTTTTTCAAAAATATCTTGATAATCTTTGTATTGGCTTAGAATATCACTTGAAATTTTTTTTTTATCAATAATAGATAAGGTGTATATAATAAAAATTGATCCTTCTTTTGCAGCATGCATAAAAGCTCTTGCACCTATTAATAATGGTTTGGATGTATTGATCTTATAGATTTCTACTTGCTTAGCAAAATCTTCAACAATTTTTTTAAAAAGATCAAGGTTACAAGAAGTCCAATCTATTTAAAAGTTATATTTTTTTTAGCTACAATAATCTTAAAATAATTAGATGAGAAGTAAATCTAATCACATTATATAACATTAAATTATTATGACTACTAGTTGTTACATCTAAAGGAATAATTTTATGTATAACATCTCCAAAAGACAACAAATGACCATCTATTATTTCTACATGCACAAGTTTGGTTTTCTTAAATAAAGATATTTCTTATTTTCTTAACAAAGACTTTATCTTTAAAACATATTGAAGATCTTGAACCTAAAAAGCTAATACTTTATAATTTTTTTATCCTAAATAAATTTCTATTATAAAATAAGATAAAAGATGTAAAGAAAGGATAAGATCTTCACTAAGTATTGTACAAGATTCTAGCGACATAATTCCTATTATAGCCAGAGAAAGTAATTTTCTCACACATCATCATCTTTAGCAATCATGTTCTTCATTTTGTGGTTGCATTGCTTCTTTGGACAATGTTGGGTATTATACTTAGATTCTCCACAATATAGGTAAAATCCTTCTTAATGGCATTGAATCTTTGTTTACTCAATAAGAAGTTTGAAATATATCATGTTAATTTTCATAGATTCTAGTCTTGATAAATAATCTTCTATAAACTTAGAAGTTGTCACCATGACTTGACTTACATTTTTTCAACCAAATATTTATTCTTAATATTTTTTAAAGAATTCATTGTCACATGCAATAAATTATTCTATGAGTATATTCATGACATTGTCAACAATAAAACTTTTATGTTATTTATTAACTCATAATAAAATTGATTAATATAATGTTATAATTGATTATCATTACAAATAAGATTCTAGAATTTAGCAACATATATGGTGATTAAACGTGATCCTTATCATAAAGATACGAGTTCGGTTTTGCTACTCTTTTTCAATCACTTTCTTCAAATGTAACCATGAAGACTTTCAAGAATAAATTTAAATCAAAGAATAATCATGAATCTTTTTCTATCAAAGGTGCAAATTAAAAAAGATTGCTCTTAAAAAGAATTTCACCTATGAATCCAACTTCAGTAAATCCATCAAGATATTGAAAAGGATGCAATCTTAGATAGAGCTTTACTTATTGTAAACATCGTTAAAACTTTGATCTTGTTCCATCAAACTTTTCAAGCATTCTTATCCTTACCTCCTTCATATTTATACTACAAAGACTTCTTAGATTTAATTATAAACTTGATCTATTTGCTTCTTTCAATTGCACAACTTCTTAATATAGACTTTGAACTTTATTGTTGACTTCTTCTATAGATATTGGAATACTACCTCCATAATTGATGTTAGAGATATGTGAGATTTCCATCTTAAAAATGATGACAAGCTCATGAAGATTTGCAATGGTTATAAATCTATTCTTATTTTTGCCGAATGTAGTATCCATAATTTTTTCTTCCATAGATAATTCAAAAAAATCTATAAATCATATTAGAAGAAGGTAATGTGTAACCTCTAATATTAAATAAAAAAATTCCACAAAGAAGAATAGTCCACTCTTTTTAAAGAAAAAATCATTATTAGAAACATAAAATATTAGAATGAAGGTAAATAGTCTTAAACCTTCAAAATACAATAATAAAAGTGGGTAGGCTACTCACTTCAAAAAACAAGATAAGAACAATGAATTAGCACTCTTGTCAAATTTTTGAGGGCATGAATTTCAAAGAACCAAAAATTCAATAAACTTTTGTGTAATTCAAAAAGAATAGATATTCACTCAAAATTAATATAGTATTGAAATTGAAATAGCTATTGCAAAAGATAAGAAGATTAGAAAGTCTTGAAATAAGAACAAAGACTATAAAGACATTGACAAAAGTGAAGAAGGCTTCATTCTTATCTCCACATATACTAACTAACTAGAAGATACATGGAAATATTTTATAGGACATCTGATACATGTCTAATTTATAAGACATGTGCCTTAACTTACAAGGTAAGTCTTTTATATATGTATCATATTGTTAACTTATACCAAAAGCTATCAATACGTGCAACATATAGCTAACTTGTTGGCCTAATTTTTGACTTATCAATCATCTATAAATACATATAAAGGTGAAATTGCATCTATGAAGCTTCTAGGAAGCTTTCCTATAAGATATTATTAAATTAACCTACTTTTAACTATTCATAATATCTAAATAATTATTAGAGTAAATATGTATGTTTGTGACTATACCTAACTATGGCTCAAGATTTTGTTATTCCTACAAACAGACTAGACATCAATGTTATATATCTCACTTCTTACAAACAATAAATTCCATGCTCAAAATCCATTAACGCTACTCATATTGCTTCTTAGGTAGATACTACCAACTAGCTTCAATTTTATTTAGATGCAATAGTTCAAATTTTCTTATCAAAAAGTTTCAAGTTGCTATTTTTTAAGTATCAAATCTCTAAAAAGTATTGCAGCCACAAAATACATATCTTAGAGTCATTTTTTTTTCCATCAATAATACCAAAGAACAAACAATCAATTGATTTCAATCAATACAACTATGTTTAGATCCAATACTTTAGACAATGACTCACATGGAATTCCAAATCAAGAACACCAAATTTATATGTTTTTTCGTGTAGATAGATTCATGGTATTAGCCAATCCTCAAGATTATTGTCACTAATTTTAATTCTTTTTCTACACTTGTCTTCAATAATGTCTATTACTATACTTATTCACAGCATTTGTATTGTCAAATAAAATGTTTATATGTATGGTAGAATAGACATCACTTTGATTGATTCTACATTTATCAAGCTAATGCATCAAGCATGGAGAAATCACCAAATTACAGCCAATGTCCAATCTTCTCATCTCAGCTTCAATCAATGGCTAAATATTGCTACAGCCAAATCTATCTAAAAATAGTATATAAATTTGGGTGAAATGTACCATAAAGAGCCAAAAAGGGCCACTCCAAAACCTATGCAACAAATAGTTTATTGCATTTGCAAAGCTAAAAAGGGCCACTCCAAAACCCAAATGCAACCAAAAATAAAATAAAAATGGTGATACCTTATTACATTCAAGGGTAGATTTGCTATTATTAATAATGCAAGAATACTCTTGATATTTCAGCATATTTAAGAGATATATATGATATTTTTTTCTTTAATTTATATTTACATTTGTGTAATTTACAATATTTACATTCAAATACACCACTTTATAAGATAAAATGATTAAAAATAAAATTTTATACATGAGATTAGTATCTTACAAAATTTAATTCAATGATTTTGTTGATTTGTTGAAAGACATTTTAAAAAGCATCCATAAATAAAACTTGAATCTGATAAGAAGAAAAACATCAATATATATATATATATATATAAAGATAAAAGAGTAAATACATCCTTTTAATAATTATAAATTAGATTGGTTGCTTTCAAATACAAAGGATGTATTGACAAAAATGACTTTGATTTTGACTCTATATATTCTAATTGACAAGAAGGCCATGTAAAAATTTCTTAAAAACTACAAGACTTAAAAAATAACTATCTACAATTGTAAGTATACCAAATATTTTTCTCAATTCTTTAATCACCTCCTAATCTTCAACATGCAATATGTATATGTATATATATATTTGAAACCAATTCAAATATTTCTTCAATTTAGCTCTTGTTGATATACTTATTTACATATGTATTGCATAATTTCACCTTTTCTTTTCCTTATTGTCATCATCAAGCACTTAGAATTGAAGTTTTAGATAAACCATATATTTTCCCATGCATAGTAATGCTAGTCACCTCCATCCATCTGTCCTGTAATGGATGAATTTGAGCCATATTTCCTGGGTAGTAGCACAAACTATGGTCAAACACATGACAAAGAATATCTTGATTTGAAGTTGCACAAATTTTATGGATGTTAGAAGGGTTTACTTTACTTTTTTCATACCATACAGTTTTCAAAACATTTTGACATTGTATCAACAGCAGACCTCCTCAAGCCTGGATGTTACAATCGATTCTATAAATACACCTGTCCAACAAATATCCAATCTGCAACTTGTACCATACGGGACGAGAGGTCAAATTAAGTTGTCTGCTTTGAGTATGTGTGGAATTCATATTGCCAAAAGATCACTCAAGGGCTACATAGTATAACATCCTTGAGATGAAATGTACACTCCAGTACACGGATATAAAATACAAAGCCAAATGAAGAGGAGCTGGTTTCCTGTTCAAGTTATGTACATAGTGAAAGACGAGCTCTTGCACGTCTTTGGCTCTTCTCCATATTACCAAGACTGGACTGTTACGAGTACAACTATGATATTGGCTTACATTACCTCAAACCCCACCCAAGCTCCACGAAATTTAAATGCTAAGGTGACATCCATTACCTACTAAGTTACAGCTTTGCTGCAAGACTCGTCAAGTTGGCACGCAAAACTCCACGAAAATGACATATTGATCTTTCTTGGCAATAATTTGTCTACTAGCATCCAAGTGCGCTGATGCTAAGCCTACATACCGGCAACGTTGTAAGAGATGCAATGCTGAATAAAAGCACAAGTTCAGCTAGAAAGTTGATTGGGATCGATGCAAATCAACGTTCTTTGCAGGAAGAACAGCTGTAAAAGCAACATCCTTCAAATCTCTGCTAAATTCTACCTCTCTCTTGCGTTTCGGTGATGGAGGCGGAGAAAGTTCAGGAGAGGAAGGTTCAGCTGTCGACTTCACGGGCTTTACTCTGATTGGAGATGGAATTTTCTCCAATAAATACTTCTCCTGCCAGGAACACGCACAACTTGATTGTGATCCTCAAGTTTAACGCTAGCCTTTTGCTCAAGCCGTAGCTTGACAACTTAAGATTGGACCAGTTTTAACAGGATTGATATATCACATGTAGAATTTGTGAGTGACTTGTACAAAGCGATTCGCCTAACCTACTTTGAAGCTACCAAATCTCTAGACCTGACAGGATGAGCAGCATTTTTCCAATTCATGTACTGCAATTTAATTTAAACTGCGGAACCAAAATCCAATCGGAATCGTTTCTTCTTCACCACCATTGACAGTATGCAGAGACGACTAAGAACTATACCTCCAGTTGGATTTGAAGATGTGCTCCTGGGGAGCTTAATTTCGGTTCAACCGACTCAGCATCCATTGCTTCATGGTTCCTCGGAGGAGCCTGTCAAGAAAACGTTATCTAGGGAGCATTATGAAACGATAAAGGCTAAAAAACCTTACAGGAATATCCCTTCGATTAAGACAAGAAAGAGCGTAGTGCAACAGACCAAGCAAGCTTATACACATGCTTTCACGCTTTTGTTTTGAGGCCATGGAAACTCGCGACAAAAGTTTGTCTGCAAGTTCTCACATGTACAGAAAAGAGATACTAAGAACGCAAGACTAGTTGGAGGCACTTACAGAGCAGTCGCAATGCAGAGCAGCAGGACCGCTTCTCAAAGGGCTTTTGGGGCTCATGGATAAAGTTGTAGTTGCCATATAGTAGGATGCCTCGATCTCGAGATTTCCTGTGCAATTGTCGCCAAAATACGGCCGTCAACAGTGAAAAAGGGCAAAATGGAATTTCAAACTTTCGGTACCGACATTTCGCACATGAAAAAGACCCCCATGTAAATGTGCGAACATCTAGAACGGTGTCAAAACAACTCAGCAACATAACACATTAAATTTATCCAAAGCAACACGAGCCGGTGGTATGTGGTGAAACAGCAGCACAAGATAACTTAGAATGAGCGAGCGCACAGTTCTGTCCAAACTTATAGAAACAAAATGAATACATAAAAACTGGTTGAAAATGTCACGCGAACACCGTAATTAAATTGCAGAATTCGGAAACTCGTCGGTCTCATACACATCGCAGGCAGAGAGAAATTAAAAAGAAGAAAAAAGAAGTGCATCTAGTATCCAGAAAAAGTAATATTTGAAACACAGATATTTCGGCTGAAAGGATAAGGCAACCAAATGCACTCCAAAACTAAGAAATTCAAATCAAACGTAGAAAATAGGATACTTGTACATATATTCCAGGTAGAAAACAAAACTTAGTAGACACTGCTTCAGGCAATACATTCAACCTACAAAAACAAACTCCAAAAAATGTATCAGACGCGGGAACATGTTAGGTGGAGAGTACACAAACAAGTAATTAAATCTACAGATAACTTCGCGACGTATGAATGACACGTTACAAACCAGGTCAAATCTCCACAAATTCTGAGAGCTCTGATATAAAATATCAATGATAGCGTACAGTCGACGTTAATTAATACCAAAGTGATAAATCGTAACATTGATAGCAAATTCAAGGCAAAACAATGACATAAAAAAAAGTTAAAAAAATAAGCAGGTCAATGTTTTCATGCCGTACATTCACATTCTACTAATAAACCTCTCACATCATGTAGAGAAATTAGACGGAGCTTTGCTTGTTGGTTTCCAGCAGCTGACCATTGCCCAAAGCAGAAGCAGAAGAAGCAATTTACTTTTGATTATGATTGGAGCCAAATTAGATGTCCTTTCCTGAAAGTACTGGAGTTAAATTGTTCACGGCTTCAACCACAGCAAGAAGCCTAATATGAGGTTAAAACTCACCTTGTTGCTGAGGGGTAAGTTAAGAAAAGGAAAGCGAAAAGATAGAGATCTCTTGAATAGGAGGGGAAACGAAAGAAACCAAGGGCGTGAGATCTACCAATAGATTTTTCAGAGAACGGAAACAAGAGTGTCACCTCAGCATTCACAAAAAACTGCTGAAAAGCTAAATGTAAGAAGGATAGAGCACTGAAACGTGCAAGAGTATAACAAACTATGAGCATCCTTTGATCTTTGATTACAAAAAATTACAAAATAAGCAAACTTAAAGAAAAGAAGGTCACGAACACGACTTCAAAACAGCAGCAGAAGCTGAAAAGCTAAAAAAAAAAAAAAAAAAAAAAAAAGCAATCACCTAAAATTCAACAACAGCGAAGTTACAGGAGTCTCGAAAACAAATGAAACAGAACCTAAGGCGTTCGAGGGAAGAGAAGCAAGGATTCCAAAATTAGCGAACTTAAGTGCGAACTAGAGCAAACCCCCGGGGAAATTAAACACCGGCCAAGCAAACGGAAGCGGCAGAAACCTCATCGCAAACACTCGAAAAAAGCCCCGCAGAGGCCACCAAAGGCCGCTCCCGACACCAAGATTCCGCAAACACTCTACTTCCGCCAAACAAGAGAACACCACAACTTACACAGCGGAAATGCGGCTCGACTGCGCACAGAAACACGCAGAGAAAGAACACGCGATTGTGCGATCCGCGACCTGCTCATTAAGCGCCCTGAAAACTTCCGCCGGAGATGCAGGGAGGACTGAAGCAAACTACTGTGCTACGATGCTAAGAAATCGGGACCAATGCAGAATGACGAAGCAATGGCAAGCAAGCTTACTTACTTCTCAGAGAGCATCAACTTGAAGCTTCGTTACAGTGGCAGCACGGCTGCTGCTGCTGCAAGAGGGCGCGAGATATTACAACGCGGTGAACTAACCCGAAGTGAAAAGCATATACCATCCAGTTCTTCGGGAGAAGGCCGGTATGAAACGAGATATTTTCAAGACTTTTCGGGAAAACGTGCACCAGTTGTCGATGTGAGATCATCCGACGTGGCATCATGTGTCAGCGATTGGAGAGTATTTGTCTTACGTGGAACGAGCGCCAGGCTGGTGTCTGAGTATTAATGGGTTTTTTTTAATGCACCACTGAATCCCGGTTTAAATGGATCTAAAAACCTAATTAATTGATCAAGGCCCAAACACTTCTATTTTTGTTGGAGATATGTCGTGAATTATTTTTTTAAAATTATGCTAATTCCAGGGCTGAATATGCTTATATAAAAATTGCATAACAAGAGAATTTTCAAAAAACCAAAAAGAAAGACATAAATAAAACATTGCCATGTACTTCAATATACATAACCATTGGTGTAGCATACATGACTCACAAATTAAAGCAGAATTAAAAAAATGTGGGATTCATAGTCATTTGTATTTCCAAATTATTTGGCTTTGGGTTGGTTAAGTTTTCTCACATGGAGTTTTTTTAGCTTTGTATATTATTAGAGGAAATTCTTTTCCTTTGTGGTTAAAATTAAAACATCAAAGTTTAATACCTGAACTACTAACTAGAAAGAAACCGTTTCATGATACATTAAGGGAAATAGTTTTTTAATTATTGAATGATTTTTTTTTTAAAAAATGTTAATATGTATATGGCATTTTTATTCATCTTTTGTTTGATTGTGCAATCAACCGCCCTTTTTTTGGAGAATATATACATAATTAAATATGTTTACACACACATTGTTGTTAGATTTGGGTTTGTTGTTAGACTTGTCCTTACACATTGTGATGGATTGTTGTTATCAATTGATACCATTCTTACACACACATGAAACAAATAAATAAGGGTTAATTTAAAGGTAAAATGAACACTTTAATTCCATTTGAGTACATTTTTAAAGTAAAAGGCAGTTGGGTTGAAATTATGCATAAAATTTAAGCATTATGAATACACATACAAAAACATCCGTAAAAAATAAATTAAACTACCAAACAGTTTGAAGTCAAACAAACAATCACTACGATAAATGAAATGTAAAAAATGGACTCATGTTTCATATGAATATTTATCAAAATTAATATAACTCATGGTTTGATCACATTAGATTTCAACCAAGCTATTGATTTTATTGTGTAAAATTATTGAAATAAAATAAGAAAACATTTAAACTTGGTGGAGACCTTATATTATCTTATTTCATTTTAAGACTTTAAAGTATTTCATGAGATTATTTCAATTTTCATTACAACTAAACAATGTATCATATCAGTAATAAAAGTTATCACTAGAGTTTCCGATACCTTTTGAGAAGATGCTATAGTCAAAATCTATTTTCATATCAAAGGGAATGATCATTGATTCATAAGGAGAGTAGTTGATGGATCTAAAAATAACTACATCCATACACTATTTACAACATGGGAAATAATGTTTAATATTGCATTCAAAATATTTCTTAACATTGTGTCATTCTATCATTTATCTCCAAAAAGCATTGTTGAGTAACTGTTTGGCAATACTATCAATTTCTTCTGAAGAATCACGTTGGAAAAGTATTAAATAATAACTCATTTTTATCTACAAAATTGCAAAAGATTATCTATACAGAACAAATCAACGCTGTGATAAAAACACTCGTAAAATATAATTTTCTTGTAAATATTCAATTAAATCAAAGAATTCCTTCATTCTTTTGCAAAAATTAATACAGAAATGTTTAAGTCTTATTTCCGACTTTAAAATCAATCAATTTAAAGTCGTAAAAACAGGCTAAACCAACTAGTTCACAATTTTTGCCACTTCAAAAATGGCTTGTACCACACATTTACCATTTTATTAAATATTGATTCTCCTTTATTGTGCTAATCATCTACCCCTATAAGCATTTCATTTGTTTAACCTCATTTTAGAAAAAGAAAAAGAAAGAGAAGTACCATCACAAGAATATCTTGATGCTTCACACAAGCAAAAGATAACAATATATATATATATATATATATATATATATGGTTCGTTTATTTTTATTTTTTTAATATTTTTTTCTGGAGGTTGTGCTATGGGCACCATACAACCCAAATAATCCTTCCACTACAATCAACCACATGGACCTCACACGTGGCAGACAACGTCATCAAATTCCGTTTTCTAATTCATGCCACATCAGCATTGAAGGTGGAATGTACAGCTTTGTCTGGAGTAATACACTTTTTTATTTTTTAAAAATAAGAAACAAATCAATTCAATAAATGTATTTAAAGTATTTGTGGATTAGTTCTCGTGGAAAGTGGCTGATGTAAGCCTTAGCAGTGGAGACGTGATACTGTGAGAGTAAGTGGAAGGGCATTAAAAAAATTATGAATTATAAATATTTATGGAACTGCAACCTCCCACAGCTTTATAACGTATTGGGCTCACAGAAGGTTCCAGAAAGGTATGGAACAAAATAAAAAGAGGGTGTTGTCAAAATTTTATTTTGACTACGATTTTATATTTATATATCTATAAAAGAACTATATTTATATATCTATATTTTGTATATAAAGTTATATAGTTATATAAAATTTATATAAATTATATATATTTAATATATATCTAATAATTTTTAAACATCTTTTCAAGATATTCTTTTAGACATTTTTGAAGACCTTTGCAAAACTAATGTAGGTTTCTATTACAAACGTACAACAAGCCACAATCATAAACATATTGTAAGATAGTCTAGAGCCTTTTGGAATCTTATAAATATTTGTTTCAGTTTCTGCAGAAGTTTAAAAACCATTAGAACTTTCTATTGTATGTTAAAATCTTCTATAGACTTTTAAAAGTATCTAAAATTATCCCAATAATATCTAAAAGATTATGAATTTGGCATTAAGTTTCTACAAAAAAATTATTATGATTTTAAAATATTTTATAACTCTAAAAACCTTTCTTGAAAACATTTACAGAATTAAGTTGCTACAAAATAAATATAAAGGCCACATATATTTTCTTGTCCTCAATTTTGTATTGAATCTTATATTCAATTTAGTATCTTGTTTCTCTTGTACTTTTGAATTTACTTTGTCTTTGGTCTTTGCAATAAGCTTAATTTTACAATCTTAAACAAAATATTTCAGGATTTATCTAAATTTGATTATAAATATTTTAATAATTTTTCTTGTACTAGAATTCTATCTAAATTTTATATCAATTCAATTAAATTCAAAAAATTATTATTATATTTCTAAAAAATTAATTTAATTAGAAATTTTAGTGTATAAAACATCTATGAAGGTTAAAGATAATTATCTGTTTTAGTTATTTATGAAAAATATGGAATTATAATTATTATGTATAAAAATATGCCTATATATATTGAAAAAAAAAAATTGCTGAAAAAAAAACTATAAATTATGGAAATATAAAATTAAAAAAAACTAATCTTTTAATAATATTAATAGAATTTTATTTATTCAATTCAACAAAGTATTTATAAGACATTGTTATAGGCATTTTTTTTATTATATTCTATTCTTCTCAAAAAATACTTATTTAATTTTTTTTCTCCAAAAAGTTTTAAAAATATAAAATTAAAACTTAATAGGTCAAAGAACCTTGGATCTTAGTATAAAAATTAGTAGTTGGTCACTAAAATTATATATATATATATATATATATATATATATATTTGTTTTTCATTAGTGACAAAAATACTACAAAAATAAGTAGTGGGTCTAGAGTTCGACATGATAAAGTTAGAAATTATATAATTATTAAATTCCATTTTTTTAAAAAAATTAATTGATGATTAGATGATTATTTTATCACATAATTTTGTACAACAATTCAATTATTATTTTTTATTTATAACCAGACAAGCTTCTTTCAGACAAGTTGTTCTTTTTTGGGACGACATTTATAATTTTGTAGTTGTATTGTTTTTTTTCTTTTTTACTAATATGATGCAATATATTTAGACTCTCTTCAATGTAACTAAAAACCTTTTATTTTATTTTATTGACAAAGAGTTATGTTTTGTGCCATAAGAAATTTAATTTATGCAATACAAATTTGCATATCTTTCACTTGTAGTTATACATCTAAAAACTCATAGTTCTTTCTAAAATAATTTAAACATTAAAATTATTTTTTTTCAACTTCTTAAAAATAAATCAAAAGATTAATTGTTAAAATTGTTAACAAAACATGTTTCTTGGCTTAAAACTTAAAGATAAAAACACTTTAATAGCACTTTCTTGAATTCATATTATAATTTGTAAAAATACTAATTGATCAACGTAATATTGTCCTACTTTCTGCATATTTCTTTCAATAATAATTATTAAATTTCTTTTAATATTGTAATCAAATAATACAAGTTATATAAAAAATAAACCAATATATACAATACATATTGCAATGTTCTTTATTTTATTTTTTGTTGTTTTCTTTTGTTTTTTTTTTAAAGAAGGTACAAATTAGATCATACTCAAAGTCCAATATTAAAATCTAAACATTCAAGATCCTTTTGTGACTTTCAAAAATTGTTTCATCATCTTAAGAAACTTTACATTCTTTATACAATTTTATTATGTTATATATACACATGTATATATATATATATATATATATATGAAATTTATCAATCTTCTTTTCCTCACCATAAACCACATTTGGCTTCACTAGTTTCAAACAACAATAATGAGAAGTATAGGATTGATTACATTTTTGCTAAATATATATTTGATAGAAACTGAGTGCAACAAACATGATATAAAATTGTGAAAAAGTCATATTATTGAAATGCTACTTGGAAGCTTATTAAACATTGTCTAAAATAAATTTATGAACATCTAATATTAAAATAATAATGGCAAAAACATTATTCAATTTCACAACAAATTGCATCAAGTTATAAATTTTATGTTCCTTTAAATGAATAAACTTTTTAATGAGTCTAAACATCTTTCAATAATTTTTTCAGAACAAATGTTATTATGTATCTTTTACTTACATTTATTTTTTTAGTACTTGTGACTCTTATTTCAAATTAAATCAGTTAACATCATATACATGTAGTATAAGTAATACCAACATGTATTTGAAGTACTCCAAATACCAGACATTTACACTAGTATCATCCTTACAATTGTAAATCAATATTCCAAATGAACTTCTCTTGCATCAAACCTGCATTGTATCCTTAAAAAAAATATATATGACTGATTTTTCCAAGACATTGTAAAATTATTTTAAAAACGTAAACAATCAATCCGAGAAGGTTGCTTTGAAGGACACAAGTTACTTTTCAGTGTCGTTTATCAGTCGCATCCCAACAGCACAACTTCAGTATATTAGTAAAGAGGGCAAACAGGGTGTCAAGCTCTTTCAAGAGAATATTACAATCAGTGTCATTACATCGAAGTGAGGATAGGAGAAGCCACCCTACAGGAAGGTTAAGTAACCAAAGAATAACCTGGCTCAACGAAGGGCAATGAATGCTGGAATGAACCAGCAACCATGGGATTCAATACATATTAAAATCCAGAAATGTGCTCACCTTTGAGCGCTCTAAATCCAACCACCTGGATTGAACTCATGACGTATCTCTTTATGAAATGGCATAAAATTCGCCATTATGCCGGCTACCTCCAAAACTTGGCACTTCAGAGATTACCCAAACTCGACTTGCTATTGTACTGCATCCGACCACAATCTCATCCCAAACGAAAAAAAAACTCGTTCAGCTCATGGCAGATTGGCAGCAACATCGTATAAAGCTCCTTCTCCGACCTCTCCTTCTACAAAGAGGGTCGGGGCAAACCAGCTGGCCTCATATAAAAATTTTAAATAAAAAGAACAACATAAGAATTTGTACAGAAGACAAATCCGCCCTCACGCTTGCACAGGCTTTTGAGCTGCACGCCCAGGGTGCTGAGGTATAGAATCTGCATGAGCTTGTTGAGGTGAACCTCCTGAAGTTGGGGTCTGCAAATACTGTGGATCTTGTCCTGTTCTTGTAAGCCGCTGGAATTGTGGCGACTGGTGTGAGAAAGATTCCCATGTACAAGAAGGTTTGGTACTTGGAGCCAGAAAATTGTGCTCTTGGCCAGACAAATTCACCTGGGGACTAGCATCTGTACGTGCCCTCTTTGCAGCATGCCCATCAAGTGATGTGGGCGAGGTTGATCCTGCTTCAATTTGCTTCTGCTTGCTTCTCTCCATCGTCGTATCAGTATATGACGGTGTGTGAGTCACTAAACCACTCCCTGTAGGTTGCTCCTCCAAGAGAGTGGTTGTATTACTGCTATTAGAGGGCGCCAGAGACGATGGAGTAGGAACAACTACATTTGCTGGTGCAGAGGGCTCACCACTGGGCAAGTCAGGGTGGTTTAATTTAGCCTGTTGTTCAAGCATTTTTTGCAGCGATAGACCTTGAGCTTCAATGCGTAGTTGAAGCTCTCGCTGGATCTGTACGATGCCAGTTAAACCAAGAACAAAGTCAAGAAGCGTATCAGAAATATAGAGGTTATTACCGGTGCTGTACAAGAAATATATGAAATCCACAAACCTAGTGGTTCGATCAGCATTACAGCGAATGAACATGGAACTCTAACAAACAGATGAAGAACAGACCTCAAGCTGCTCATGAAGCTTCTTCTGCACTTCCATCTGCATTTGCAATGCTTGTGCAATCTGGTGACCCCTGTACACAGAAATAACAAGATGTTAATTTAAAAGTATCAATGAATGAGAACTCCAATGGCCAATTCTTAACTTTCACCACAACTTCAGACTGAAGACGCAATGGAGTACTGCAAATCGATTAAGTTAATCGACCAACAAATTGAACTGGTATCTGTTCACGTGAAAATGCCAACTTACGATCCAAGATCAAGAGATGTCAACAAACAGTCGTGCTTTCTCCGTTCAGCTTTTGCTTCTGTACATTCAACTTAATTACTTCAGTCTAACATTAATAGAAACCCATCAACTTTTGATACATAAAATAGTTCAAATACAACATCCACATCTAGTCTAAGCAACAATTTAAAGCACCAATGTGAATCACACCTTCCGAGATCTCTGGCATATACTTTGCAAGTCGATATTTCTGAAACACAATAACCACGCCGCATCACAAGCAATCAGGAAAACCAAGGTTTTAAGCAAAATGAAACTTACAAGAGTTTATCTTGATTTTATGTTCCACGACCACATCTCTGATCCATTACAACGAAAGAAAACTGTGTTCATTACTAACAACTTGACAATGATGACCATTTTTTTGTTAGTTTACAGATGCTGTGTAGACGCCTGAGATGAGTGAAATATGAAGTTGCAAGAGTACAATCACATAACAGGGAGAAGGATCTAAAACTGACATAGAGCAGATCTCAAACCTGGAGATGGCTTTTCACGTGGTAGATAGTTATGCCTTGAACACCCATCAATCTCAGTACAGCCTTCGGAGTTGCACCTTCACAGGGACAAACAGCGCGTCAGACATCTCTTCCAGCTAAGAATTGGCAATTCTGTCATCAGCTCCACCGCAACCAGCCAGACCCTTCCTAGAGCTGACTTACGATCTGCTCCTCCCAAGTGCGCCACAGCTATTACGAATTTCTCATGGAGCTCTGGAGTCCATCGAAGTCGAGACTTTGAAGCTGAAGCTTCTTTGGCAGCTGCTGAGGAAGATGGTTTCGGACTCCCGCAAGACACGGCACCCGATGAACCTACGAATTCAAAAAAGACCCGATCATTTCCGAGTCAAGTTATCAGGAATGTGACAATAATTTCAACAGTCTGTCGATATCTGATATGGCTATCAGCAACATCGTGGATGACACAGAAACGCTAACCCAAACTTGATCAATAAACACTTTTAGTGACACTCTTACTCAAATGTCCTCCAACGTTAAAATACCATCCCGTGCACAGGTACCATATTATTTTAACCAATATTACTTAAAACGTTGAAAATAGCAGTAGGAAACTCACTTGTTGGATATTCAGAAGTAGGCGGGTGTGAAGCCAACGGTTCGACCTGAAGGGGCGTCTGAAGTGGCACATACTTTATGGATTGGTTCAAGGTCTGTGACATGAAAGAAATCGCAACAAAGCTGAGACGTAAGAAAATTGTGCTCCAGTTAAATATTCACAGCATACAATACTTCCGAGATGCCTACGCTCCTAAATTTCGAGTTGACTCAAAAGCTTACTCCAATAACAACAGAAGTTCCTAACATAGAAGGCATGCATCTAAGAAATGAAAATCATAGGTCCAGTCTCGTAGTCCCCCCGAAGATCGAATATCATTATTAGGTTCACCACATGCATGCCCCTTCGTGACGTAATGGAATGACTAGATAATTCAACATGAGCAGACCAGTAGTCTCTCCATCGCGATTATTCCCACGGATTGATTAAGCAACGCGTACCCTGCAGCTATTCAGTATCTAGGGATGAGGCAATATCAGGTGTGGTTGATGGACTGAAAATTGTATTAAAACTATTGGATTTAAAACCCTAAGAAAGTATCTATCTTCAATAATAAAGAATTGCTTCCACCCTGAGGGGTCTCAGCATATGGACTAAAACGCAGGAACATGCTGTAGGGACCTGTAGAAAACAAATCCTGCATTATTCCCCACTCTACATACATTCACCCAAAAATCACGTGTCCATGGACACACTACAGGGCCAAACCCTACAAAAATGAAGTTCCCCTTCCGAACTGTATCCTTGTGCGCTTCTGTTCTTTCAAATTATTTGTCTCAACTCTGCCATTAAACAATAAACTTCACATTTGTCGCTTCCCGTTTCCTGTCACTGCTCTTGTTAACCCACCACTTCTTTTTTTCATAGTGAATTCTTTTCAGCATAGTGTAACAGTTTGTAACCTGAGACAAGTAAATGCTACAAAGAATTCTACCTTTCAAGGCTACATATATGTGAATTTGAACACACAAATAAATGCAAACGCAAACGCAAGAAAAAATTACCCTTCCATCGTCTTGCTCGACATCGATAAGCTGGGTCCAGCAACTGGCAATAACGTCCTCTTCAGGCATAAGCTGATTCCATGTCAACCATTCCCCTCCACCCCCAAATAAATCGGTCTCCGGCTCAGCTGTCGGCAAGGGAGGTAATGACACGCCCTCCGGAGGCAAAGCTGCCTGCTCCTCCGGAGACTGTAATATATCCTGATAACACAAAATAAACCTCATGTCACCTCTCCACTCTCACAGACTTGTATCAAAAACTCCATAGAACACACACGAGTTCGAAGCACAGAGCGTGACCTCGCCATGAACATTAGTCTGCGCAAAATGCTCCCCGAAAGAGGTAAGGAGAGGGCTGCAAATCCCTCCACTCATCATCAAACCCTCCAAAACCTATTAAACACCCTCCGCTAACTCTACAACGTAACCCACCTCACAAAAGCATCCGTGCAACCTCTACCCCAGAATTCTAAGACATCAACAACGTAACCCATTACCAACCACCGACTTCGCCACAAAAACCCACCGGTTTCAGCAATCGCGCTGAATTATGCTCAAAACCGAACTCAGCAAATTCTACAAACTCCCCTAGAATCTCTTCCACCATCAGAAAAACACACTTACACACACACACACCCAATACCACTCCCTCAACCCCAAACTAAACCTCGACATCACCAACTCTAACCGAGTCATCACGCAAACCACCGTTATTGCCGCACTCGCACGCTTTTTCTCATTCACAATCCCTCAAACGACACCAACTTACCGAATTCCACATGAGAGCGGGCAGCAGAGATTGTTGGACACCCCAGAACGGAAAACTCAACCCCAGACAAGTTGACAAATCTTGCTAGCGGAGGTTTCCTTCCTCCCGTGGGCGGAAGTCGACGAATCCCGCGGCATCTGCACAAGACGCAATAGAAAGAGCCATAGAAACAAAAGCGATTACGGTGATGATGAGAAGGTAGGCCACGGCAGGCGCGCACGTGAGATTTTCCCGGTGGCTCTCCTCGCGACGGCCACTGCAGGCGGAGCCTCTGACTGACCCAACAATCGAACGATTCTCTTCGACGAACGCAATCGTGGGTATTTCCGACAATAAATTGCAGTTGTCATCGTCGAACGAGATCGTTGGTAGTGACGAACAAATGTACGGACGGAAGAACGGACAAAGGGACGAGACTGCGAACGAACGGGGGTGAGATTGACGAAGTCTGTGTCTTGTTGGACCCACAATGGTTCGAAAGACCACCACTTCGCTTCACCTGGGTCTTGTCTTACAAGCCCTTTTATTGTCTTATTGAATGAGGAAAAATCTAATGAATTCAATGTGTCAAAAGGTTGGAAAATAACCAAAACTATAAGTTTCGATTCTTAAATAAGTGGGACAATGTATGGATGACTAGGAATATGATTAAATCTAGACTCAATATGTGTGTACATTAGAACTCAAGAGTGCCACAAAATGGTCTTATCATGCATGATACAGTAGAACATAAACAAATCATGCAGGTGGGTCTAGTTTTGGTTAACTTTCTACCAGACTGTTCACAAGTTTTAGGATGGAAGTTGTTATGTTATGTACTTACACTTTACATAATTTAAGCATTGAATTTACCCTATCTTGAGTAAGATATACATATATATATATATATATATATATATGTGTGTGTGTAATTTGTCATATTACAAAGTATTAGTTATAATTTAATCATATGTTGCTTATTATAGGTGTAAAAGAGTGATTAATTTATTGTTATACATAATTTTCCACATGAAATGAGTGCATGCTTCTTTGAATCATAAGTTTGTAATATTTATTTTTAAATCAATATTCTAGAATTAATGTTATTTTGAAGCTGTGTATAGAATGGATAAAATTGTGGATAAATTTATCAAAATAAAAACAAAAATATGACATTTAAAAAAAATCTAAACTTTTACTTATCACAATTTTTCTTAGTATACATAAATCTGATTTAAAAATAGTTTTAAAGTTTAAATTTGTTTATATTCAAATGAATTTATGGATCAACATTTTTATTTTGTACTAATGCACTGTGACGTGTTGTCTTTAAAATGGTAAATGGAGTTTCAGATTCAAATTAGTTGAAAATTATACTTAAAATTTTCTACAATCATGAAAAAGACAAACGAAACCGACTTAACACCACAAAGCAGCTTATCGAAATAATTAATTAAATTAAAATTAAAATTAATTTGAAAACAATTACAATTTTATTCCACTTCATCTTTATTATCAGTATGAAGGGGGAAAATACATATATATATATATATATATATGTATTTCATAATTTTTTAAAATAATGAAAATAATACAAACAGGAGTAAAACTTCAACTTTATAAAAACCTTTTGAAATTTAAAATATTTGATCAATAATAAATTTAAAAGCTTCAATCATCAATGCAAAAGAAAACTAGCACAGTCGTAGAAACTGAACATTCAACTTCCAAGGGTCTAAAACACATGACGAACATACTCCGCGGCACAAGATTCAGCTCCAGCACACGACGAACAACCCTCAGGGCAGAAGACGACCAAGGACAAGAGCACAAGACGAATGCGAGGCACCCACACAAGCTCGTGACGTGAGCTGCTGAAGAGCTGCCGACGAGCACGCGAGCATTGGGAGAAAGAGCACGTTCGGCGTCGGAAGCAGCCACAGTTTCACAAGATTCCCGGCACATGCTGCGGCCATGGCCACGAACGTTGAATCGCGAGGCCATCCAGCTCCCCTCGTTTCGAACTCTACCTCCACGACCGCACCCCGACTGTGCCGATCAAACTGTGGCTGAGATCATCTGCAACGATCTCACCACCGTAGGTCCGCGGCGCATGATTTTTGTTCATGCATGCGTAGTCCAGGGTCGGAACAGCTTACTAGTACCGATTCCGCTTCAGTGTGGTCGTCTCAGCGTTGGTCTTGACGACTGGGATTGCAGATGCGAAGTCCCGGGTTGGGGCGTGACTGGTCGATGTCGATGCAGGTTCGATGAAGACGCCTCCCTGAGTGGAGTTTGCATTGGACTTGAACCACCGTCGATCGAAACCCACCGATATCAAAGACCTGCAATGTCGGCGACCATAGAATTCTGCTTCGGAATTCACTGTTGAAAACCCCCTAGAATCATCAATGTGCTTTACTCTACCTTGAATGCTTGCAGAGCATGAACACTTCGGATCGAACGAGTGACTGACTTTACGTCTGCACGATAGCGTGAGAGGAAGTTTTGCAGACCGATCTCAGTCTGCGGCGTTGTTTACCGGTGACCATTATCGAAATCAGAACAAATAAATAAATAAAAAGTACATGAGTGATCGTAGCTCTCGACCCAGGCGGAGCTTTGAGGCACCGCTGCTTCAGGATTGCGAATTAGGGTTGAGAGCTCAGGATTCGGAACTTAGGTTTTACAAAACCATGTCTGCATGGATGTTGCCATGCCTGCAAGACTACAGGACATAGGGGTTAGAGATTAGGACCTCTAGAAATCAACTTCTTATTGCACATGGATTCATTTTGTGGGATTGTACCGTGAATCTGCACTGAAAAACTTAAATTCATGAAATATATATATATATATATATATATAAGAATGAATGTTATGAATAGTATTATTGTAATATCTTGGATAACTTTTAATTTATCTTTTTAATGCTTATAAATGGGGAATATATATATATATATATATATATATGTATATATTAAACTAGTGGAAACCCATGCAGTTAGGCACAACAAAGATGTAAAATGATTTGTTGTATAGATAGTAAACTTAAAATCTTTTTGCAAGTTATGAAGGGCTTTCTATTGGCTAACAATTTCTTTGGTTTCAGCAAATGAGAAGGCTTCTTTGTCTCTTTGTCTTATACCTGAACTTCCTTGTAATAATAGATGTTATGATCATTTGAAAAAAGAAACATAAAATGTCTATCATTCTGGAATGGTAAATAAAAACTTCATGGCTCCTTGAATGGGGCTGCATCCAGCAGTTGGCACCCAGGTTCACCATTGCCACTTTTGCTGGGTCCCATTACTCTGAGTTGAAGCATTTGGTTTCAGTTATCATTGAAATAATCAAACGAAACTAATCCGTATTTCATGAAATAGATACTAAAACTATTAAATAATTTAGCAGTAAAAATTCTGATACAAGAAAGAAGAAAACAACAGAACTCAAAAAAAAAAACACACACACACACACACACATACACACACACACACACATACACACACCAAACAGTATATTATATATGTGTATGTATGTATATAGTTATTAACAGTAGCATGTTGTTGAAGAAATTCTTGCCTTTCATTAAAAAAATCAAAAAAATCAAAACAAATTCGAATATGAACCTTTGGATAATCAATATTTGATTTTTAATATCAACTTCTGATCACTGGGAATCAGTCATGTAAAGGTTGCCTGAACAAAATAAAATCTGCATCATTTTTGTATTATTACTTCACTACACATGTACATGTATGTATATATATCAAAGGCTTTGTTTTATTTTGTTTTTCCTTCAAACTTGAAATCATCAATAAATATAAAGGTGAGAATAAGCATATTCCCAAGAGAATGTTTCAAAGAATGTTCAAAAGCCAAGCTCCATCATAAGAAGCAATTTGTCCACATGAGGCCAAGATTGTCTACTATACATAGGGCCTCACATAAAGAGCCAAGTGAAGATGATGCGGGATCCATTAAAGAAATGGGTCTTATGACAAGTGCCACTTCAATGAGGTGCCTCCAATTCCTCATCTTTTTTTCAATGCTTTATATCCCACAGTCTCATATCATTCCAAATGGAAGAAGCTCTTTGTGGGCATGGGCTTACTCAAGCTTTGCCTTGCGGCTCTCATCTAATTGATGGAGTGGTGGAGAGGGTCCCCATGATTTTGTTTTGGATCATTTGTGACATCCTTATTGTTGTGAGTTGTTCGACAACTATTGCAAATACAAACAAATATTACACCAATGATAATAGGATTAATTATAGAGTTGCCAATGAGTGTTTAGTTGCTGCTTTGAAAAGGCACATTAGGCCATATCATAACAAGCTTTTGAACAATCAACTAGAATTGTCTTTGTGATAATTTTGGGGGTGGCTTTTCTTCCTCTCCCTCTTACTTTAGTTTATCAAATTAATCTTTTTGTAAAGTGGGAGGAGGTTTATGAAGAAGTTAAATTGGACCTTCAAAGGAAACATAGCTTCTTTTTTTTTCTTTTTTCTTTTTTTTGTCTTGGGTTGTTGCTTCAAGGGAGAAATCTTCTATTTCATTTGATCTTCATGGAACATTTTTTAGACATATGTATATATATATATATATATATATATATGAGAAGATGTACACTTTCATGTTGAAGATATTATTGAAGTAATCAATGGCTTTAGTAATTTTATGTGCTTACCAATATGTGCACAAGGTGAAATCATTTAACTCATTTTAGTAGAGACTTTCCTATGAAATGTACATGGGTTCTTGTGGACGTATTTTCAAAGTTAGAAAATTACTATCATATACAAACATGACTTTGTGTAAAAATTACAATAAATTATCTTAAATTAATATAATTTAAACAAGTTCTTAAAAAATCTTGTGTCAATAAAATTTACAAGACATATTTGAATTTTCAAAATGTATACATTTTTTTAAAGTGCATTCATATTTTAACTTCATGACATATTTTCAAACCGAATGAACCATATTTCATGCACAGCTCAACAGTTTGGTTTTTATCTTTTATTTATACAATTCAAGAATGAGTTTAGCAATTTAAAGTTCTACTTCCAAAATTATCATCCACCAGCAATGGTTACTCTGATGCAAATAAATCAATATATCTATATATACATATGTATTGTATGTATATTTGGAAAATTAAAGTTCTACTTCCATATATAGTGGATGATACTTACTTCCATATTTGGAATTTAAAGTTCTACCCCCATATACAATATATTGTGTGTGTATATATATATATATATATATATACACAACGCTCTTATCAAGTTACTTCCACAATCAAGTTTCCTTGGCAAATATATAATGCATGTATATGTACAAGTATTTATGTACACACATACAGACAAACATATAGTCGTTTAACCAGAAAAACAGCAATTCATGCAATTCATGAAAGATTCACCATACATGAAACTCAAGAAACTCATGAAACTTCACATTTTCTAAAGGAAAATGACACTCAAATCGCAGTTTTCGCAGTTTGAGTGTCATCCATTGCAGTCGAAATCCATGACTGTTTGGCAGCCGCGGATTACAATGCGATATCTGGTGGGCTATGAAAGTGTTCGATTGTGCGATTATTCGAGACGGCAGGATTAATTAGAAAGGGAACATAATTGGGCAGTTTTCTAAGTACATTCGTCCTGGGTTTCGACGAGGGAATGCAACTCACAATCCTTCGGACAATGTGTTTGTAAGTGCATACGAAGGCTCACGAGAACTAGTGATCCTTGCAGTCAATACTGGTGGAATGGCACCAGAGCAAGAATTTGAAGTGTTGGGAAGTGTGAGGAAGCTTTGTTACACCTTTCAGAACTTCGGAGAGCGAGAACATTATGGCTCTAGAGCCAATCCACCTTTCTCACGGTCAGTTTAGTTCTACACTTCCGGCGCAAAGTGTAACAACTTTCGTTCAGAACCATCACGATTAGCATGTTATGCTCGCAGTGTGGTAGCATGCGACGACTGATGAAATGTGGAGAATCTGCAGATTAATCTCATCAATACAGCATGTGATGAGGATTCCGAAAAGAGTTGGTGGATCTCTGCATAACCTCTGCATGTTCGCGCAGCGTTTATTACATGTTTCATGTCGTCGATCATCGGAAAGTACAGCTGTTGGTGACAAGTGACTTGAGAATAGAAACTTAGAAATAGAAGGAAACACAGAATATTCTTAGGAATGTTCTCGACGTTTTGCGGTGTACAGACGTTTCAGGGGGAAGAAGAAAGCGGAGAGATTCTCTTGGCCAATTGCAACATAAACTTCGACACTAAGTTCCTACATTCTTGTTGGAAAAGCACACATCCGCATTTTCAGTAGTGAATTCTAGTGTGAGATTTAATGATTACTGCAAATTTAGTAATTCCAATCGGTATAAGGACTGCTGGAGGTGCGTTGTGAAGAGATCCACAATTTGTCCATGGCAAACTCTGATTTTACACTTCCATATCTTGAAACTTAACAACGAAATAAATCAAGGTAATATAATCAAGGTAATTAAGATACAGGAACAATTGCCACCTCATCTCATTGTACCTTGAGTTTCTGTTGCGAACGAAGTGATCTGAGCTTTTAAAGGAAAATGGTATGCTTTTAGCAAGAATACACAAAAGAGGACTAGGTCACATCTTAGGGCTTCTGTGCCTGGTTTCCTGCAAGTCTTCCAACTGTGTGTTCTAAAAATGGTCAAAATAATCATGAAAACATGACAGTGAACAATGAAGGCTTGGATGCATGCTATCTGGGCCCTGATAGTTGAATGGCTTCAATGTCCCATGAAGAATCCTCTACTAATTCACAATACCTCCGTGGGAGCAGCGCTTCCCTACTCCTTCGGTTCTCCACTTCGCGCCATTGTTCCCATCTCTCTGCCAGACCATCGCCCTCCAGCATTCGTGCAACGTCTAGCATTTTGGGGCGCTCCGAGGGGAGGACTTGTGTGCACAGCAGTGCCACCTGAATTGCATGTCAGAGCAAAAATATGAGCATTTCTGGGGGAGCAGATCATAAACCGTCTTAAGAATACGAACAATATTAACTGCTAATTGATTTTGAGAGTTTTTATTTGTGACTTTGCACCTGCACCATCTCTTCCAGCTCGAGTGAATTGTACTCTGACATGAGTTGTGCGTCTACCAATAAATCTAGTCTCTTCTCAGTTTGAAGTTTCTTGACCTGGTAATCAAACAATCACCATTCACCGTCAGTCACATGAAGATCTCAGGAAGTTAATCAAATAAAATGATTACTATTCTTGCGTTTTGGGTGCCGTATTTCTTCCATTGTGCTCAAAGAAAGCAGCCTAACCCAGTCAAGAAGCATCATGTCGTTCTGGCTCGATAGCCGGCCGAATTCAAATGCTCTTTGGCCAGTAATGAGCTCGAGCAAGAGCACGCCATAACCAAAGACGTCAGTCTTTTCAGAAGATTGGCCAGTAGAGAGGTACTCTGGTGCAATATGCCCAACCGTGCCACGAACTGCAGTGGTCACATGAGAGTCTCGATGGTCCAACAATTTCGCCAGACCAAAGTCACCGACTACAGCTTCAAAATCTTCATCAAGAAGTATATTTGCTGCCTTCACATCCCGGTGTATGATCTTGGGGTCACAGTGCACGTGCAGATAGAGTAGTCCTCGAGCGGCTCCCAGGGCGATGTTCTTGCGTGTCGGCCAATCTAATGCTGGCTTGCCCGCAACGGTATCTAATAATGACACATGTTGAAAAAGTTAGTCCAGTGATTTACAAACAAATGGATATGGCTGCAAGGTGATGATGCTTACTGTGGAAGCCCGGACTCTAGAAGGGGACGATGACTGCTGAAAATCTCCAATGGCTTTCATGCGTTAAAAGATAGTGAATGAAAAGATGGCAGTAATAACTAGAAGGCCTCAAAAGAATGGGAGAAATAGAAGATGAATCCACCTCGAAGACGAGATGCCACACTGCCATTGGGCATATACGGATAAACAAGCAGACGTTCAGTAGGGGTCATGCAAAAGCCTCGCAGGCGCAGAAGATTTCTATGTACAGCCAGCGAGATCATTTCAACTTCAGTCTGGAACTGCATTTCATGGCCAGGACTGCCTTCGCCCTTTAAACGCTTGACAGCCACAATTGTCCCATCAGACAGATGACCCTTGTAAACATTCCCGAAGCCGCCCTTCCCGAGTATATTCTTTGTGTTGAAATTATCAGTTGCAATCTGAAGCTCTCGAAATGAAAATTTCTTGAGCTGACCTAGCAGCACGTCTGGGTCTTGTTGCTCTGTTACATTGCAATTTTCCACGTGAGAGATGGGAGCAACCTTGCAACGCATAACAAAGATCAACACAGCAAGCAGACCACATTGTTCTACACATCATTGGCTAATTTTTGTGGTAAGTAATTTTCATCTCTAAATTTTATGGGTGTTGTGACTTAGGTAATCTAGAGAGTTAGTGCAGAGATGTTAGCTTCCGCCTCCCCATTCGATTTATGGTATTTTAAGTAGGACTTCAACATGGACTCACTGGTAAAGTGCTTGTACCATTCACATCAAAGAAAATTTGTTTAGCGTTGCGGCGACGCCACCATAAAAATCCCAGCACAAACGATCCGACTAATACTGCAGCTCCCAATGATAAACCAGCCGCCACAGCCGAAGTGTTTGATCTTTTATTTCTGCCTGAAGCCAACAATTCATACTGAAAGTCAGTACATAAATTGATGTACCTGTTCTTTGAATCTCTTATGACCAACTTCTTACTCCGCCTCTTGTTCAATGGCTATCCCATCTCAAATTCATATATCCACTAACAGCAGGGCAAGAACAAGGAGTTTTTGCAGTGGATCGAACGGTACAACTATTTAAAGTAAATAAAATAAATTAAAATAACATAACACAACACAAAAAACAAACAAACAAAAATAAAAACAGCACAATCGGTCAGGAGGGCAAAGCTTGTATTACACAAATAATCAAGAAAGTAGCAAGTGTTGATTTGCCATAAATGCAGTCCTTCCAGATTCTCAAAGTTTGCAATATCGACATCATTTTCTCACAATCATTACAACCCATTCCAGAACCATGCCTGACAGTTATTGCTATTTAAAGAGCACTGATTTGCAATATTCACGAAAGAGTAGGATGGAAACGCACTATCGATAATATTTATATTTGCAGGATTGGGCAGTGGAGGGTCACCGGGACACTCTTTCCTTATGGCCCATCCGCACAAACTCGGATTGCCATCCGCCCTAATAATTTGCAAGATGCACCCAGATCACAAAAGTGTCAGTAAGTATTCGTAGAATTTAGCTCTTTTCTGGAAGAAATCTTAACATAAAACCAGTAGTAAGCAACAATTTCCCTCATCCTACATGAAACCTTCAGGATTCACCCCAAAATCAAGAGAGAGAATTACAAGTACATTCTATCCTGTTGCAGCTTCCGCATTCTCTCTGCACTTGTTAATACACCCTTCTTTGAAAACAAACAGTGCATTCGAATCAGACGAATTCAGGGCTCCATATGATATGTGATAGAACTTGGTGTCTCAACTACAGGTATCTGAGATGCTTACATCAAGTTCTTCAAAGTCTGATTAGGCACAAAGCCCGACAAGTTGTTGTATGAAACATCCCTGACATTGAGGAAGATTAACTATCAGACTTGAGTGTTAACGAGATAGCATAAAACATACACGCTTGTCATTGCATCACTAATCTCCCGCACACATAAATTTTCTCAAATCACAACCATGTCCAGTATGGAAGTCTTTCTGGGGTCAGGGCGAGAAATACAGGAGCTCACACTGAGAGTAAGGAGGGCATATTGGAAACGAATACTGGAAAGCTTCCGTTGAAGTGATTCCTTCCCAGATTTCTGAACAAACCGCACAAAAAGTGAGTTTAATTGTCTCTAGTTGTAAAACGGTCATGTTAAGTTCCATCGATTCATAGCGTACCACTGCCGAAGAAGATGACAAAGTGATAAGCTTTCAAAAAAGAGCTTTCAGTATTTCAATTGAAAATGTCTAGGGGTAAAGGTGAAAGGCTTTGAGAGTGAATCATCATACTACCTTTAAGCCAAGACAAGAACATACGAGAGGGAGTGCATGAATCAAACTCGAATCAGAAAGAAGGTTAGCAGAACCACTGGCCACTTCTCACGCATGAAAGTGTTTCTTACAAAGTTACAAGGCTTGTCAAGTTGGCAAGAGCACGAGGAATTGCACCAGATAAGGCATTTCTGGACAAGTCCAAAACCATAAGCTTTGAAAGATTCCCGACCTCCGACGGTAACGGGCCGGATATCGAATTGTTAGTGATTATCCTGCCAAGAATTCAAGGAAATGATGTATTTACATGGCACAATAATAATAACAACAACAGCAACAATATAAACAAATATTTTAAAAATAAATTGAAGTAAACCAAAAAGAAATGCCATCGCCTCCAAAGAAATATGTGCTTGCAAGTAAGTTCGGCTATGAGTGATGAAGGTGCATACAGGCGCTGAAGATTTGGGAGGCTTCCGATGAGAGGGGACAAACTTCCAGATAAACTATGCGAAGGAAGCGCCCTGCATTGCCAAAGAACCCCGACAAGCAATGGTTAAATTCCCCCAGATTTGGTTCACCAGATCTATACTTTTGTTACATGTTCATTCGTCTAACACTCGTACACATGAAACATTCAGAATCATTTTTAATGAAAACAAATCTCTAAAAACAACGATGGTTTCTCGTGTGCATCTGAAATGGCTTAGTAACACTTACAAGCCATAGACAGAATGGTTAGCATCACACTCCACAAAGGCGAAGGTGCACGGTGACAAATAGTTCGGATCCCATGAGGCAAGTACATTCTCAGGATCCTCGAACGCTTGCTTTATTGCAGCCAAAGATCTAACTGCACATTTACTCCACAGCTCAACGTTAACGCCTCATAAATTCGAATTCAGTGAGTTAAATCTAAAATTTAGACATCAAAGATCCCATGAAATCCGAAACTTCCTGTCGCACCACACAGTGCATGTTGCTCAGCTGGTGATTGATTCGGTTTCTTGGACGCTCACGAAAGAATTTAATTGAGTAACCAGGCCTCTGCATACTAATAGTAAAGAGGATAACATCTTCATTAGTGTAACCAATATTTGCATCTCCCATCACCTTATTAAGGCAAGAGATTATCACTCTCAGCGGTACTTCGACTGCTATGGCGACCATACTTTAGGAGATCCCGAATTCTCCAAAGAAACAGGCAATATGATAGGAAATAGCGACCATACCTTCAGGATTTCCGTCAAGGCTACAAACACTGGTGAAGAGAGTCAGAACTTGGAGTAACGTGAATGCTCGCCATAGCCATTGCTGAACTCCAGCAGCAGGGCCTGGCATGCACACCTTGTGGCTAACTCTTCTCCCCATTGGTGGCAGCTCCTTTTCTCTTGATTGTTGTAATTGTACTCATTGTAGGGCTAATTTACCCGTTTTCTATCACTTGTCGATCCCCACACTCACTTCTTCATTCATTTGTAAATACGCTCATCTCTCTTTTCTCAAAATGACAGGCGTTTGGTCACGGTACAATTCCAGTAAACACACCTACTCCAGTATCTACAGATCAAGGGTCCAGATTCTGCAGTCTCCAAAATCGAAGTCTTCTAACTGTAGGTTGCCATGATCCTACAATACACACGGCTTGGGAACTGAGGAGGGCAGCAATATGCTCGAAGACAAATGCAGGATGCAAGTAGAGAGTGACAAGAAATCTCATACCCTAAGTCTGAAAGATTTCACTCTTGCCAGCACTTTCTCCCCAAATTTGCAAGTTACATAACGCTCACAATTCCCCTCTCTTTATTCTCCTTGTCAGTGAGCACCCGGAAAGCTCGAAGCCGGGGGTAAGAACCTAATGGCGGGTGCACAACTTGACATACCTGGTTCAAGTTCAGAGTGATCACCGATTGAGCACCAAACACGACAGTCTTCCCTTGTCATTCTCCAGCTCAACTCCATCACAGGCGCTGGACCGTTTCAAAGTCGCCAACCTTTCTCGAAAGAAGAGTTGGTACATACTCTACTAGTCTATTGTGTGCACTTGGTGTCTTCAGGGCAAAGATAGCTGATCCGGCATAAAAGGAGGCCTCACCAGCAATCCAAAAGTGCCAGAAATGTTCTACCCTCGCAGCAGCACGTCATTATGCAGATTAAAGGGAGTTCGATTAGGAAAAGAAGACGAGGGTTAATCAACACACAAGCGCACTATAACTCCGCTGTCAGGGGGTTTATAGCAAGAAATGAGTGCAGCTCTGTAGCAACAACTAAGACCCCCTTCATTCACTCCTATTCACTCCCAATCACTTCTCCAGTCCCTCAGCTTTAAACCTGTTAAACACAATACCCATAGCGTCGTTGGTATTCGTCTTCAACACCATGCATACGTCTAATCTGCGCTGCACACTGCCCTGCTGCAGAGACCCATGACATACAACAGCAACGGACATGGAAATGACGCCCGTGTCATGTCTGTGGCACTGTATAATCACCCTCAAGCGACGCAGCGGTCTCATCAAGTCCGTGGGGCTTCGTTCTGCAGTGACTCCGTCCCCATCTCACCAACTTACCCCACCAACCCCTTCTCACTCACTCCCTCACTCACTCACTCCTCACAACGTAGAATACATGTACAAATGTTAGTAGGTATCAAACCCAGCAACACAAAGGAATGCAAGAGGGGTATGCAGACTCCTCCTCCTTCTCAATGGAGAGCACCCCCGCCACCGGCAAGCTGTAACTTGTCCAGGACGAAGTGACAAGCCATGTACAGTCTTGATTGCCAGCTAGAGCTATCACGCTCAGAGGCTTTCTCCCGTCTGACAACCGCGCTGGGGCCACACCCCAGCTAGCCCTGACATAGTAAGCACTGATAATCCCCCTTTGAAGCCATCCCCCCCTCCCCCTCTCTCGCCCTCCTTGACAGAGCAGCAGCTCTGCTCCCCCTCTCACAAAAGCGCGCACACACACATCCTGCCCCTCGGCACTGGTGCCTTCAACCCCATCCCCACCCCCTCATCATGGAGCTCACGCCTTTGCGCCTCCAGGTAATGGTGCCGTAACCTGGCCTTGTCTCTCCACAACAGTTTTCCTCACACAGCTTCACCACCACAGCCCTTCCAGCTCCATTTCTCCGCAAATCAACCCATTTCTTCATGCTCTACTCCCATTGCATTGTCGCACGCATCAATCAGTTGCGGAAACTCGCACTCCGGTGCAAAGCCAGGCGCTGCTTTGCAAACGGCGCTCGTATTCTCGCAACGGAACAGCAGCTCGCGGGCCCCCCTGAGCACCCCCCTTGTTCCCAGAGTTATTTTATTTTTGTTTTTTGTTTATTATTGTTATTATTGTTTTAAGAACCCAGAAGCATGATTGTGTGTGGGTGGGAACAAGGGATTATTTTGTCATTGGAGAATGTTTCCTTGGGTTGCAAGCTTACAAGACAACAAAATGATGCTGTGGCTCCCTCATTTAATAGATATATTAGTAAAGAAAAATGTAGACATAACTGTGCCCCAGTTTTTGTTCCCTCTCTAGGGATTGGTGCCCAATGGGGGTTGCCTCACATTCTAGGCTGTTGTTCCCCATGGCTCCTCATTTTGGCATGGTTCCCAATTAGTGCTTTGTTTTCCCCTTTGAAACCCCCAATGCTTTTCCCAAACAACCAAAAGGGGGCCATGACAACCAAGGCCCGTTTGGCTCATTTGAGAGCTCTCTTGGCACTTGTACCCACCTCCCATGTGAAGAAAGCGTTGTGTAGGCTTTGGATTTTACTAAGGAGTGAAAAAAAACTAAAAATAAAAGTACACATATAAAAATAAAATTAACATTGAGGTACAAGGGATAGAAAAGGCATGCACATTTTCTAGTGTAGAAACATGATGGCTGTGTGTGAAATTGACTCTTGGCTTGTGTCCTTTGTTTATGAGGTTTAGCACATGAAACCCGGTTTTGTAATGCCCTAGAAAGCTTTAGAAACCAAAAATGTTGAAACAAACATATAAATGCCTTTCAAAGTGTACATTGCAAGTTGCAATAACAATAAATATATGTGTATATTTATAGTTAGTTGGTTAGTTAGTCAGCTAGTCTTTCTTAAGTAAGCGCCTCTTGGTAATGATAATAATTCAGATTTGTTAGTTTTTATGATGTTAAGGATAAATTTTAAAGGAGCAACTTTGAAGCATGAACTGAGTAGACATGTTATGGTTAATTGAAGAATGTGTTTGACAAATTAATTGGTTACAAATTAAAGGATAAAATGCAAATGATATTAGAAGATGGAGTATTTTACATAATAAAACTTATAAATCATTAAATTACAATGAATTAGCTTGTACAAGTATTTCTACCACTGTTTTCTTTTCACAATATCTACTAACAAGCAGTTGAGGAATATTTATTGGAATTAAAGGAAATGAATTCTATGTTAAAAGTTTAGCATCAAAAACTAAAGTTGTAGATGCAGACTGAGGTTATAACTTGATGAAAAAAAATTACAATTTGAGAATCATAATTTTTTGTTTAAGTAAAACATGAAGATTTAAAATTAAATCACCAAAAAAATGATTATCAACAAATGAATTACCTACAAGTGTTTTCATTCCTTTGGCATTGGTTAAAGATCTTAAAGTATATATCAGCAGCATATTAATATCCAAATACACAACGAGAGTTTTTACTCCTTTTCAATTACAAAGCTTGGAACCATGGAAAAAAATATATATATATATATATATGTATACACACATTTTACTTCCACCATGATTTCTGAGCTAATACTTATTTCAAAAAAATCAAGTTCAGTCTCTAAGTCAAAATATCATAAAACAGTAATCCTAATAATAATATTATTATTAAAAAATATTTGTTACCAACCATGTGTTAGGTATTTCTAGAAACTAAAATAAATAAATCTGTTTACAACTCCCAAAATTTTATTTGCTTTTTCTATCCTACCAGATTTAAATGTAAAAATCAATCTCCTGTAATTTCATTACACATAAAATTTAATTCCAATGAAACAGCAAAACCACCAATTGTTGTAGGATATCATAATTTTCTTATAAATAGAACTAAATATTGTTTGTACTAAAAATTTCAAGATAAGTAATTTTTGTGTAATATGTAAATCAATCACAGCAGTATTTTAAATTTTACAAACCCTCAAATTTCTATTATGATGTATTTGTAAAATACTTTGAGTACAACAATTAATTGCATTTAAGAGATAAAAAAAATAAAAAATACTTTAACAATTATTAATTGCTTCCAGCATGTAGTTGTTTGTATTGCTTGAAATAGTATATATTTTTTTATATGGTAGTCTTCTATATGAATGAAGATTGTAGACCAAAATGGAAATGTCTGTATATGTATGTATGTCTATATATATTTCAAAAATTAATTAAGTATAATGTTGTGTATTTTTTACTTTGAAAAATGAAGTGAAATAAAGTCAAATAAAATAAATTTTTTAAAAAAGTTATTCAGATAATCATTGTGCTTAAAGACTCTTTGCACTAACTGCTCAAACAATTTGATGCTAATGCAAACCTCACATGAAGCCAAGAGTGGTTTTAATTCTTACTATAAAAAAATGTTCCCAGATAAATTATTGTTGCTTTTAGAAAGGAACCTGGGGTGAACTGCTTCTGAGGATTGAAATGCTTAAGGAAAACTGTATCAATATGTTTCAATTTGGCACACTGATACATACAAATCATGCACCAGATCCCAATGACATGAAATAAACAAAGATAAATAATGTCAAAACACAGTAATCTTCATTTTTTTATCTTAGATTTGTTGTAAACATTCCAAGAGTTTATTTTTTTATTTATTTTTAAGAATATTCAAACACTCTTTTTTAATATATTATTGGTAGGTTATATTTTACTTGAGAGGGTTTGAAATTGTGCTCCTAAACTCCAAACTGATTCAATCATCAAATTCTAACAGCAAGACTTTGTCACATTCTGGTTGGATTCTCCTCCTCTTTCTTTTGTTTTGCAAACAGTTTTGTGCAACAAAGATGATGATAGTGATATACACAATAAAAAGTATATATATTTATATATACGGTAAAGAGGAGAGGTTTACAAGTTAAGGAGGGTCGGACACAAGAGTAGATGTAGTTGTCATAATACTAAAAAAATTACTAAAAAAATGAAGAGAGAGATGGCAAGTATGGTCCACACCAACATCATCAAGTAAAAGAGTACCCTACAATCACATCACCCACAACCAACACTTGTTCATCAAGTCTCCATTTTATATATATATATATATATAAATACACATTCTCACACAATGAAAATGAAATAAATAGATGAGATTACCTTAAACATTATGAGGGCTTTCAAATAGTTGTTAGCTTCATTGACTTTCAATTCTTTTGAGCAATTATACAACTCATAAGGAGGGGAATCCAACAAGGGAAAAAAAAATTCTAATGCCATTCGTAATTTTATTATCATTCAAGAAAAAGAAAAAGAAAAAGAAGCCATCAAAGACAACGTACATTTGAAAAGACTGATGAACATGGGCTTTCAAACGCCACGGTTATGGGTCCGTGACGGCGTGTTGACCCGTGTCCGATGGAACCTATCACCGCTCCTAGACAGAGATTGATTTTGTTTTTTTTTTAATTAAATTTTAAAAATAAATAAAAGAAAAGTAAAGTAAATGCTTCTCAATGAATATAACCCTCATTGTGGCCCTTTAATGGGGCTCATTTGATGGACTTTATCCCAAGGAACAGAGCTCTTATGACCCAAAATGAATGAACACAACAATTGAAAGCTTCTGCGTCATTCTTCAGATTTGGTGTCAGAAACTCATGCTTACTTCACAATAAGTTTTGTATATAAATATCTACACATATATAGTTATTGTTCAAGATCACTTTTATTTTTTCGATGTGAGCCCAGGCTTTAGAGTTGCATTTAAAGGATAAACACCAACTTTTTTTCTGGATGTGTGGATAAGTACAGAGGACAATATCAGTTGGGCTAACAGCATTCAATCTCAGCTAGGAATTGAAACCCTATAAATATAAAAATATATACAAAAACAAAAGAATCGAGGGGTAAATCCAGGGTGAAGGCTAGTATTGATATCCGTGTATCGAGGGGAGGAGCTATACCCGGATCGAGAAGTCCACAGTCAACAGTCGAGACAGGGTCAAAGGAGTTGTTGGCCTAGTTCTCGCTTGCTTTTTCCCTATCACTTTTACTTTTACTTTTCTGCCTCACAACTTTCAAGCCCAAGGTTCACGTACAAGGGATGTGACCAGCCACAAGACTCCTCCAGGGGCTACCAGAAGATAAGATTTAGACTAATGCCAGGACTAGACTAGACTCTCTCTCTCTTTACTCTTCGCTACTCTGCTCGTTCTCCCTGTAATTAGTCTTCTAATCCAGCCCACTAATTCTGACATCCATGTGGTCAACATGCTGCTAATTGTGCAGTGGGCAGTGTTGTTGCCCAGTGGATTTTCACAATCCCCCCCCCTGAAAAGATGATGAGATGTTGAATTCAAACCAGGTTGGAAGTGTGGTGGGTTAGCAATGTTATTAGCAAATCTAATAAGTGGGATTCCAATCAAAGCATCATTTCCACTAGATGCCAATTAACGGTTTTATTTTATTTGTGAATTTGTCTTTTGCTCGCATATGAGTGGGTGTGCAGAGGAATTGGGTTTTGGGATGGATAAGTGATTTGATTAGAATTTGCATGTTAATGTAATCACAAGGTTGAGATATCAGTTGTGTATCATGCACATTGTAGGGTTGTTACCATGTTAGTATTAGTGCAAATTGTAAGGAAGAGTGTGTTTTCTTAATTGTTAGAAAGTTAATTTTACTTTATATTGTTTCATTGATTTGTTGGAAACTTCAATTTTCTCCCTTTTTATCTTGTACTTAAACCAAGTTGATTTTTTTATGACGTTTAAAACAAAACCAGGTTAATAATTGAATATGTGTTCTAAAATTTGTGACAATTAATCTGTGATAATTTTTATTGCTGGCTTTTTTGAAAAAAAATCACATACAATGAAAATATATTAAAATGCATATACACAATAATGCTGAAATAAAATACACTAGTTCCTTTTACTATTTCAATATATATATGTATATTTAAAGTGATTTTTATTTTTTGAGCATTTGTTTTTTGTTAAGAACAGTTTGTGGTTAGGTATCATAAAAGGATTTTATAACTTTTGGTAGCCTAGCATACATTTTGTAGAATGTAATTAAATAAGTTTGATGCAATATATATTTTGCATAAAATTTTACCTTTTAAGCAAAATAATGTCTTAATTTACAATAGCTTCACAATAATTGAATTAATGTGCAATCATAACAAAAAAAGAATTGGTGTACATATGTAAACATTGATGGGTAGTTAGTTCAAATGAAAACAATAATAAAACATATATTTATAATTAGTAAATATAATATAATAATAACCTCTCTTTTTTTAGAAACAAATATTGCATATACAAATATATTATTTTTTCTGAAAAAATCCAAGGTATTATGGGCAATTCACCATTTCTGTAAATAAATGATAATTACAGTTTCTAGTTTAAAATATTAGAATCTTTGTTGATACAATGAAATGGTACTTCTATTTATTTTATTAGTTATAATTAAAAAAATCTCACAAAATCACACGCTGTGCTTAAGGCCTTCAATTCTTTCGATTAACATTGAAGGTCAAAACTGGAACATAAAATATCACATATAATTATTGGTTTTAGAGTAATTTGATTTGAATTATATATTTATATGAGATCTTATTTTTTTTTCACTCGACTATAACACCAAAAATCATTCCATGTGTTCAGTAATATTTTTCTACAGTAGTTCGCCATTATATATTTAATTATGTGTGGTACAGCACACCCAATGATTTCTTAAAGTAGATTTTAAAATTTCAATCATGCATTTTTTCACAATACTACTGTGCTTAAAAATCAAAAGCAATTAGACTATCAAGCTCTTTTCTTTTCTTTTCTTTTGAAAAATAATGCTGTTTTTAATATTGGGTTATCTCAAATATCTATATATATATATATATATATATAAAATAAATGCCGGATGGTTTTTATACCAACTATACTTTATGATAATAGTGTACAGTTTTTTTCAATAATACAGCAGATTATTACTTTGTCGTGCATTTATTATTCAAACTCAACATGTTAGTATAGATGGAATTGATTCAACTAAAAATTCAATAATCTTTTGTTTGTTATAATATTGTTCGTTAGTGTTAAAATATTTGAAAAACTTGTAGTAGTGGTGTATTATTGGTGTGACATAGGAGGTGTTCAAGTGGTGAAAGAGGTTATCCACTTGATAATAGGGGGTGTCTATACAATAAAATGAGGGTGTGTACATATAGTAAAAAGGAGTGTCTATGCATTAAAAGGGAGTTTTCCACGTAGCAGTTTGCTATTTTTTTACGACAATAAGGTTTGTGGTTGGTGCCTTGTTAAATATGCATTCAAACAAATTATTCTAACATGTAGAATCTACATAGATTCATTTAATTTATTAAGAAAATAAATCATAATTTTTAATTCTATAATTTTGTTTGTGAATATTTTTTTGGACATACTTAAAACTAGTAAAAGAAAAGTAACTACGGCATTCTGTAGAATACTTATTATGCATAGTTTTCGTGAAGCAAGCATGGATACACCTGTTACACAAAAAAGAATTAGTTTTACAGAAGAAAAACACAACAAAGCAATAAAACAAAATCACCCACAAGCCTCTTATCACCAAACATCATACTCTTTATTTAATCCTCAAAAACATCAACTATAGCTCACTAGTAATATCTCTCAAATAAGAAAGAATTAACCAATCTTTACACAGAATGGAGAAAGAGAACCCAGAAGACAATTCTCCATAACAAATTCATGAATTGAGCTTTACATAGAATTCAGAAGAGACCTCTCCAACTTTGCAAAAGTTCACAAATGCTCAAATAACACAAATTTGCAGTAACGAAGACAAAATGTGCTCTGGTACTTCTACAAACCAGGTGTTGCATGAGAATAGCAGGCAGCCATGAGTTTGTGCCGATGAGGTGCCATGCCAGCAACATGAGACTCTCATGCTCCAGGAATTCATGCTTCGGTGGGGCAATCACATAGGATTGCTCAAATTAATGCAAAGGTCTCACATACAAGGGTTTTCTCTCTTTCTGTGTGTGTATGTTCATGTGGGTGTGGGTGTGTGTGTCTGTGTGTGTGGAGCTCTTATTTGTTTGTATGTGTGCGTGTGTGTGTTTACGTGAGTGTTTGGGTGAGCGTAGAGGTTTTGTCTTTAATGGTTTTGGAGCTCTTTTGAGGATCAGCAATGGAGGCCTTGGAGCGTCTGGAAGTAGTTCATGTCCACTTGCAGCTGCTCCACACGCACGGGATCGCCACCTCGCATGACCCATCCAATCGTTTCCTCGCCGATTTCCTGCTGCTGCTGGTGGGTGACGCCGCTCATTGTCGTTTGATGCCATGTGGGGCATAACCCAGCTGGCGCAACAGTCTCACCCGTGTGCTTTTATGGTTTGTGATTTTCTCCCACGAACAAATGGGGTTTGGGTACATCTCTTCATTTTCAGGCATCTCTTCATTTTCAGGCATCTCTTTATTTTTTTACCACAGTCTATGATTTGGTTTTTGTTTTCGGTTCGATGATACAGGGTGAGTCAGGCAAGAGTTATGTCGAGATGCAGAGGTTATGCGAAGTCTTACTTGACGCGGTTCCAAAGGTGAGTTTCTTTTCATTGAATCAAAATCAGTGTGTCGGTCTCCTCACCTCCACTGATAAATCTTATGTGTTAAGTAGCTCAAAATGGGTCAGTCTCTTTGCCCCATGGATACAAAGCTTCTTGGGGTTTCTCTTCTGCAGCAGCCTCAGTTTCTGAATGGAAAGAAAACACCGGACGAGACTGTGACAATGTTATCACTTTTTTTATTGACAGATGAAGGGTTCGTCGTTGTTTGATGAGATGGCGAGGGCAACTTCCTCGGGTATGTTGACTCCTCTACCACACTTTTATGAAGCTCCGCCCTTGTTCCTTGTGATTGTGGTATTGCATAAAATATACAAGATACATTTGTACATATCCAGAATATTTAATGTACCGTTGTTTTGCAATTCCCTCTTAGTATGTCTTGTCTTTCATGTTCATTATACGGTCTTCATATAGATTTGTGGAATATGATGACTGTTTCAATATGTAGTTGTGTTGTCGTCTTCTCTGTAAAAGAGGATTTTTTCTTGGTTGCAATTGGTGTGCGGTTGCTGGTATCAAGCCGATCCTTATATCACGTAGGATACAATCTTTTGCAGAAGACAAGCTCACGATGGAGAATTTCACGCTACACAAGGGTTTGAATCACCGAGGAGGTCATGTACGTGCCGATTCTGTAACTTTGCAAATGAGCGAAGTTGTTGGTGAAGAAGTACTGACTACACAACAACGACGAAGTGCTCCTTGTGAGCGTTCTGTGTTGAGTTGCATGATTAGTTTTAACAGCATGGAGCGAGCTCGCTCCACACTAGAGGATTTCGTAAGTAACCCGCGACACCTCGAAGTAGTAATCTTTAATCTTGCGGTTTCGCCATTTGTTTTCGAGGCTTAGACCAGAAATCCATCTGCAGCATTTTACTTAAGCTCATGTTTTAAACTCAATACATTTTGCTGAAAAGTTGGGTATCAAGTAGTTTCTTTCAGTTAACCTGCAGATCGCTGCAAGGTCTTTGGCTCACTTTTGGACAGCGCATGATGTTTCGGTTGTGATCATGGGGTCCCTGTTGACAGTGCAGATCGTACTTTATGTTTCATGGCATGGACGCACAGAATCCCACACATATCTTTCGCTATCTCCCGCTCCTTGTTTTTGTCGAGTCCTTCATATATCAGGTTCGTCCTATATGTTGCACTTCTTATTTATGCTATGGCTTTAATAATGTTCGTTGATCCTAGGCTTTGGAGGTACCGTGTGTTAAATGATACGTAACCTTTGCTGGTGTTGTTGTTGAAGTATAAAGAGCTGTGCCTAGCTTGGATAGGTATACGTTTATGAGTTAAGTCTTGAGTTTCGTTGTAGGTTTCAGCATCTCCATATCTGTCATCTGGTAAGATAATTATAATGGTTGTGACTGTGCAAATAGCTGGATGAGGAGAATGAAGATCAACTATGCTTATCGGAAGGGACGGGTGGTTCCAATCGGTCACATGATGTCTCAAGTGAATTTGCATACGGTTTAGGGAAGGACCCATTCACAGGAATGCGGTCTATACTTCAACAACAGGATTTACTAACGGAGAGGTAATAAGACTGGAGTTTTTACTCTTATTTGTGCGGTTTATCTAACCGTCTGTTAGTATCGATCATCGCCAACTTGAGTTGGGGCAGGTACGCCATAAATGCATATATGTACAACATCAATCTATGCTGTGGTTGTGGCTATTGCTACCGATTATTGCTGTCGACATATGGATGAGGCTTGATAATCCTAAATTTCGGAATTGATTATAGGATCTGCATTGAATGCAGGATTGATAATGAACTAAAGGATGGTCTAAAGTATTGGTGTTTGGAGCAGTCCCTTTGTACTGCCCTCTCAACTGGAAAAGAGGCACGTTGTACAGAGTTCTCTTTATCTCATTCCGCCCTTTGCACATATTTCTGTTTGTCTTGTGTGCTGATGTCTTCGTCTAGCATAAGCAATAGCGAGTGTACTTAACTAATAGCAAAGTGGTTTTCAATAGGTAAAGCCTGAAGATGTTTTACGAGCTCTACGACTCAAATCATTTGACTATCGTATACTTAACCTTCTTCTATATGGCTTGCTCCATGAACCGGTCAGTTCCTATCATCTTTGTCGTTAATCCTCTATCTAGTTTCTATTAATCTTTTATGTTGTTTTATCCTTGGAGCTATGTCTCAATTCTCGTTCTCAGACTGCGAACTATGCTGACAAAGTTTTAGTTTTGCGAATTCTGATTTGCACCGACTGGGGCTCTGATATTTGATAGTTTTTGCTATTGAACAGGTCAATGAGGCTCATTTTGAGTTTCTCTCCGTTTCGGAACTACTTGTAGAGATAAGCGATGATTTGTAAGTGTGGATTTGGATCCCTCTTGATATTTCCTTAAATTACATTGCATTTCTGAAATTCATTTTGCTGTTATCTCCAAAAATAGATTTTAGAAATTCTTCGTACTCTGGTTTCAGTGTCGTAAATAAATGTCTTCCTAAATTCTGTTTCATCACTGGCTTGGCAGGTTCGACTATGAGGTGGTTCTTATCTGCTTAAAGGACTTTCTGCATCTTTTGCTTAGCCCTTGTTGGAAGCTGGTTCTGTTTAAGAAAAATTATCTGGGAGTTCAGAGAATTACTACAATTTGATGCGTATGTGTGTGCAGGAAGATGTAGTCAAAAACACCTTTAATGTGCTTCGTATGTTTGTTCACACGTATGGGTCTAATGATGCCCCCATCAAGCTCGTAAGATATCATCTCTGACCAGTTCAACTGTTTGAGTCCAGGTGCTGCTAGCATATCTGTTTACCTCCTATTATATATCCTTGATCACTGGGGCCGGACATAGTAAGACTTGACGTGTATTTACTGAATCTCTTGTCTGAAGTATTAGTATCTGAAATATCCAATGTACAGGCTCAATTCATTAGTAAAATTGAAGACGAATACCAAGCACTGTTAGTGGCTTTGGAACCGGATATTCGAGATAAATACACACAGCGGTGTGAGGAGGCTGTAAAAGAAGGTGACAACTTCATCTACAATGAAATTGGTTGATAGTTTGCGAATCATTGGCGTATGTATCCATGTATGGTTGGCCTTGTATTTTGCGCCACTGTGGGATTGGCTCGTGTTTGGTTCTAAACAGTTCTGAACTGGCAGTGAGAAGTTCTTGATGTCATTTCCATTAATCAGACATTTCACTGTACTTGCTCATGTTAGTGGATATGAACCAGTGCTATTCAATGAAAGTTACATAAATACATAAGTGGTGTGAACAAATGAAAATTTTGTAAGAATTGACCTACATGATATGCCCTAAAGAAATGATTAGCCAATTCTAGTGCACTTGGTTTCATTGGCATGTGTCCGAGCTGTTTGAAGAGGCTGAAGTGGTGTTGCTCAGATGGTATTTATAGCCCTTATATTGAACTTGGCAGGGGGGAGCAAGTCTGTGCACGTTCTAGGAGATTGGACAATTCCTCCCCTCATCACTGACGAAAATGCCTTCCGCATTCGGGTCAATGAAGATGCATGATGCATAAAACTAGTGCTGTGAGATAACGTTACAGGCAATGCAGACTTGGATCAACTCGGGTGCAACGTTACATAGTCCAGTTTTCTTACAGCTCAACATCAACACGAAGTCAACTTCTTAGGTTGATGGGATTCTGACCATGGAGCGTACTTATGATGGGGAGGCGCATTAACCCGTAGTCTCATTGAAACTCCATATTTGGGACTCTTCCTCAGCGAATGCAGTCTACTGAAAATCACCCACGACTGAGTTTCATTGTGTAGTGAAAGCCATAGCTGCACCAGAATCATCTAGATTTGTACAACCTTGTTGTGTTGCATGTTATCCAATTTCGTTGCCATTGCTTTACTCCATCCTGTGAATTTAGAACACATAATTCTGTAATTGTGGAAAGGGTGTTGACAGGTCCAGTGATAGATTCCATGTCAGCCACTGGACTTGCTGCCTCGGGGAATTCCATGCTCTTTTGGACTTGTGAAGTGATCGTTCCTGAAGATTCGTGTAGTTGGTCCCCAGTGCTCCACTCCTAATTGTGCTGTGATTTACGTGCAAGTAAATCTCAAGCGTGACATTGATCACCCTTCCTCATCGTTGGTATTCCTTCACCCTGGTGACACAGACTTGTCTCTTTTGTTGTCAGACTTCGTATCGTTGGGGTTCGAAATGCTGCTGGATTCAAACCTAACGTTTACATCAAATCCAGTTGAAGTTGTGAACATGAAGGCCATGGGAGAGTGATCAAAATGGACTGGAAACTTACACCATCGTTTGACTTCGATGCCAAAGCTAGTCACGACAAACCTTCGCCAAGGGAATGAACATTCCTTGTCTAGAATTGGAAAAGGGAATGACAAAAGCAAACTAATTGGATTTTTCCATTATGTCATTGTCGAATCATTCCTCTATTTGTTTCATTAATAAATTGTTTTAAATGATTTGATAAAGACACCAATTTTGGATATGCTATAAAATAGTTGGATTTAAATACTGTGAAAATATGAAAAGATTGCTTTTGTTGAGATTGTAGTTTATAAACATGTAGAAATAGCCTTTTTCAATGTTTTGTTCTAATTTGAATAATTTATTGTATGTATAGAGGTTTCAAGGATGTAATGATTATTATTAATGTTTTAGAGACATTAAAAGCTTTTTATTTCAAAGTCTATAATTATTTTTTAATTTAATAGATTGAAGAAAATTAGATTGATTTGAATATATTTAAAATTTATGAAAAATTATTTCAAGACTTGAATGTTTTATACTTCTAATCTAGTAAAATTTATATATATGTATATAAAAATTAATTATTTATTTTCTAAAAATATTTAACCTAACAATTATTACCAATCAAAACAAATTCTTATGAAATTCTAATGATATCCTATATACATTAATGAAGTCCTAATCAAAACCTTAAAAATCTGAATGAATCCTAAAATTACCCTACAAATCTTAATAAAATCCTACTTGAAACCTAACCAATCCTACTCAATCCTAGGCTATCTTAAAACCTCAATAACTATTGATTAAATTGTTGATCGTGCTTAAAATTTTGCATAAATTTCAATCTAATAGTTAACAACAATCACAACAATATAAAGAAGAATCCAACTTATCAATTAGAAGAGAAACCTCCTTGATAGCTCAAGTGTTGGTTGTCCTCTTTGTCTAACCTTAATATTAAACTTTTAGCAATAATAACTCATTATTAAACTATTCACTTACATTCAAAATTAGCAAACTTATTTTTCAATAAGTTTGCAATTTGCTCATAAAAGCTTTCTTGAATCCAACGAGCAAATTATCCTAGATCAAAGAAATTATTATTGTCATTTAAAATCTAGATTGTAAGATCCTAACTTAGTTGGATTTTATTAATCTTTGATTTAATTATTAGATTGAGTTCAAACTCACAAAAAAAATCAATATATGTAGATGCAAAAGCTTAAAAATTTTACCTCTCTATATGCTGAAATGCTCACAAAAGTTTTAAACATACAAACTCTATTTTATTTCTAAAAAATCAAAACCATTTAAAACGCCTTTTACTTTGAAAAATTATCAAAAATTAAATACTAATCCCAATCACTGAAAATAAATACTCAATCAAATCCTAGTAAGTTCCTTCTCTAATTTATCTTTTATAAAAAACATGGAACCTTGGATTTGTTAATAGAGCTCGGTTTTGTGCCTTGGAATGTGATTATAATCTTGGTTCATAACTATTCTCTTTGAGTATCAACACCTAATTTTTTTTAGATAGTTTTTATTAGAAATTATCATTTATTTTTATCTTAAGATGTCCATGATACTAATTTTGCTAATCTACCTTGTTTTGTCTTATTTATGGTTCTACAAAGTAAATAGAAGTTAATTAAAAAAAAAATACTTTTTAGTTTTACTACCTCTTTGACTATTATCTATATTTCTAAGGTAATTTTCTCCTATTTTTTGAAATAAGATTTTATATATATATATATATATACATATTTTCTTTTCTTTTATTTATTAGAAATATTATAACATAATATCTACCTTTTTCAAACTTTTTTTTTATCATTACATTGATGTGGAATCTTTTTTATCTTTGCAAAATTCATGGTCTTCAATTATCTCTTTTCCTTCCATTTCTATATTACTTTATGGATTTTATTCTTTATTAAAATATGTACATTTACATCTTTTTAAAAATAAATTTACTTCCTTGCATGTTGTAAGTTTCTTTAATTTTGTCTATTAAGTTCTTATAACAAGCATATACTATTGTTATAAAATTTTTTTACAACATATGGTCTAAACAAATGTTTAGAAAACTTTTATAATGTACTATATTGGTTATATAAATTATTATCATAAATTAAGATCCAATTACTTTAGATCAAGCATATGAATTATAAATAATAAAAACCTAAACATATTCTAATATCATTCAAAAAAAGTAGATAATCACTCAAAGATGGTATAATCTTAAATTAAAATGGCAATTGCCAAAGACAAGAAAATTAGAGACTCTTGAGACAACTAAAGACTAAAAAAGTATTGGTAAGAGTAAAAAAAGCTTCACTCTTACTTCTACATATGCTATTTAGATAAGAACTATGTCGAAATGTTCCAAAAGATTTGAGACATATTTAACTTATAAAATATGTACCTAACTTAAAAGACAAGTTTCCTTCATGTACGTTATATAGCCAACTTGTACTACAAATTGCCATGTATGACATGTAGTCAACTTATTGGTTAAGTTTTCAACCTACTAATTAACTATAAATACATATAAAGTCAAATTCATATCTATAAAGCTTTATTATAAGATATCATTAAATCTACCTTTATTTATTTTCTATTCAATAATTTTTATTTAAATAATTATATATGCATACCAAATTATTTTTCTTCTAAAAACAAATTTTATGAAGAACAATGATGATATTTTAATTTTTTATTTTAGTTTTGATGGATTTGGTTGATAAAAAGCATGAATCTGTTTTGCTGCATTTGCAAGATTTTTTGCTATATTTTTAAGATTCTTTGTTGGCTCCTATATGAGTTTACTAATATCATATCTATATTAATATACAAGATATTCCAACCTATTTTGGCTTTGCCTTAGGTCTCAAACTTCTTCAATTTCAACTTCTCAATTATTATCCAATTCAATAAGAAGAGGTGATATTTGTCTTCTTTTTAATATATCCATTGTCTTATATGGTTGAAGAAGAAACATATAGAATATATGTTAGATTTTTATAGGCTTTGATAGATTTAATCAATCATCAATTGGATTAATTTCTTTACAAATAGAAAATAATCTAAGTCTATGATAATCCATTTTCTCATAAGAATAATTAGTTTTGATAATATAAAAAATTAATCATATCTTGTCACACATGTAACATTAAGATTATTCTTTATAATATACATTTGCATTCCCTTTTTTTTTTTCTGGGGTTTTTTTTTTTTTTTTTTTTTTTTTTTTTTTTTTTTTTTTAATTATAACTTTATTAAAGCTTTGTTGGACAATTTTTCAAATCTTTTGATACAAAATTATCAATTTTTTTGAAGTTAAAGGTATCAAATCATGAATGATAATTATAATTAAAAAAATATTATTTTTTGAGTAGAAAAATGTATTGTGTTATTATAAATAAACTTTGTTAATAACAAAAGTATTGTCAATAATCTTAATGGTGGTTGATGGTATATTTTAAATGCTGCTTTAAAACTTGATTCACATGTTTTGTTTATCTATCAATTTAAAGATGGAAAGCCTTTTAATATCTTAAAAGAATTATCTAAAACCTTAATATAAATTAAGTCATTTTATCTAATACAATATTCTTTAGCAATTGATGATACTAATAAATATTGTCAAGGATAATTTTTTTTTTTTTTTCATACTTTTGATAGATATTTTATATGATAAAAAATACATCATCTTAGTGAAAAAATTTATTATTACAAATAAAAAAATCATAAAAACTTAAGATTTGAAGGTTCGTCATAAAATTCATACAAATAAAAGATTATAATTGTTTGAATATAGGTAATGGTTGAAGAAGTCTATAAAGTCAATGACAAGGAGTTTTCAGCTTGAATAAACATCACATGATTGTACAAAGTTTTTGACTACCTTCTACATTTAAAGCCATTAAAAATCTTTATTTATGAGCTACAAGATCTTGTTGTATTCAAAATATCTTATAGTTAGATAATCATGATGAACTTGAAGAATACATAATTGTATTTCAACTTTTAGAATATATAACCATTCTTATATTAGAATAGATTATTATTGAATTTAAATTTAGAAATATTATAAATTAAAAAAATAGAATTCTTAATATATATACAAGATGATTTAAAGACATATTTGATTGAATATGCTTAAAATAAATTAAATCAAAAATTAATATTGATTTTAAAGCTCAAAGATGAAATTTCTTTGGCTTTAAAAGATTTTTTTGTTATTGAACAAAAATTATATCTTTTTCTTTTGATATAAGATAAGAAAAATTAAAAAAAAATCTAAAAAACCTTATTATTTTTTATATTGATAAATGATCTTGAATTCAAATCTTAATAAAGATATATTCCAATTGGGCTTGGCAATAATTTAGATTACATATTAATGTAAAATACTTGAGCCTATTATGATCTATATATACTAGAACTGCACTTCAAGGGCCTTTCAAATAAAGGCACTATTCTTGAAATAAATCCACAATTGCAAAAATATTTTTATTATAGATCTTATAGTTGATTTGGACTTTTGAAAATTTTCTTGAATAAAAAGCTACTAGATGAAGTTTATCAATTGCACTCATTTGTAACAATACTATACTCAAAGCAAAGTTTGATGCAACTGTTTGTAAAAACAAATTCCTTAAAAAAGTTGATGCAATATAAGATTGGTGCACAAATAAAAATTATTTAAATTTTTTTACATGGTTATTGAAATTTATTATTTTACTTAATTTTTTTTATAAATCAAATGTATAAATAAAATTACAATTTGAAAAAAAAATCTTGATAAAGATTCATTGGTAATTGACAAATTCTTAAAAATATTGAACATTTGTCATATTCTTAAAATCTTTTAATCTATGATAGTTTGAATTTATAATAGTCTTATGATGGATCTATTTTTATATAAAAATTATATTCAAATAATGGTCTTGTGATAGATAAGACCATCATAAGATCCATCATAAGATCCATCATAAGATCCATTATAAGACCATTATTTGAAATGATGTATCCTAAAATGTCAACTTAAATTTTATAAAATACAAACTTTTCCATCTTGGCCTATAATCTCCTCTCTTTAAGTTTTTATAATATATAAAAAATATGAAGTTGATTCTTTTTTATATTATTA